GTAAACTAAGAGAGAAAATCAGTTCATCGAGATAGAACTGAATCTTTGTTGTCTCTAAACCATCTTAATTTTATTGGAGGATGACCTTTCAGAGCATTGAAGTGTGCTTTATTGAGTTCATTCATGACCCTGCGCTATCTAATAATTATAATAAAATAAAGATCTCGCAATATATATGTAGTATTGAGTCATCGTTAAGTTATTCTAAACTGTTCCAAAAACTTGAATTTAAAAAAAAACTCCTAAAACCGGAGAGAAATTAGGAAATCGGAAAGTGATCGGAAAAATATGCTAAAATCGGAACGTCGGAAAGTCGTCGGAAAAAATTTCAAAAATCGGAATTTTTCCTGCCATATCGGAAGATCTGGCCACCCTGACTGGCATAGATTTATTAAAGTCAATTTCAATCTGCTAATATTTTCTTTATGCTATGTGACAAGAAAATCAATGTCAATTTGATTTTCGTAAGATTATTTTGAAATATAATTCTCAAGTTTTTTTTTCAATTTCATATAGTTCTTTTCTTCAAAAATCACATTATTTTTTTTCAGGAAAACTTTTATCTAATGGTTAGGTTATTTAGAGAGGTACTTCTTCTCCAGGTAAAACCTTTAATGATTTTTGTTTGAAATACATGGCACTTGATTTTGTCTTGTATTGAATAAACAAATTAAATACGGAACTATCATTTGTTTCTTATGACTTATACGCGTATAAATGTTTCTTATTGAAGATAGTAAATGCAGTCGAATCAAAACCAAATTTTTCGTTTTTCCACATTGAATTTCTCTTTGAACTATTAATATAGATGTCGTTACTTGAACTTGATAGATAAAGCAAAATAGTGTCATAGTTTTTCTCACAAAAATAGTTTTTTCGTATTACGTAACACTCTGTTCACTTTATTAAATAAAAATCGAAGACTAATAATACTGGTCGAAGTAAAAGTCTTTGTTTCTGTCTGTATCTGTGATTGTAGTCTAGTCTTGCTTTACAATAGTGAATGCTTTGATTGTTCATTTTATCTTTATTTCATACATTTTCATTTCAACATGTACGACGGTTTCTAGATAATAAGTCTTTTTTTTTCAGATGCCGAATGATCCGAGTAGATACCGATATCGCAGATATGTAAGTCAAAACAAATTTCAATAAAAGAATCTATTTGAATAAGTTGAAAGAATGAAATAGGACAGGGAGATATATGTGAGGAATAAAGTAAATTTTCCGTCATGGTTTCTTTTTTGGAAAATTCACAGATTCTCGAAACTGTTTAAAAATTTTCGTCAGTACGGAAACTCACTAAATGCTTGATATTGCTATAATTTAGAAAAATAAATCATGATGACCAATCTTTTCTTATAACAACGAAATAGCTTAATGCAAATTATTAAAATAGCCTTGCTTTTGACAATCAAATATTTCCCTTTTGCCAAATTAATGAAAATCCATACACTTGACCTTTTTTCAATTAATTCTAGTTTTCATTCTTCACCCATTATTTTTTGCTTTAGAATCAGAATAAGCCTCTCGACGAAGAAGAAGCAGATATCGGCGATGAAAATCCTGTAATCGATGCTCCATTGACATCATCATCTGGATTATCAGTTGGATCATGGCTTCTAATTTTTGCTATAATCGGTAAATATAGCCAGTCACCACTAAGAGTATTTTTATGTTGAAACATTTTTTAGTCATTGGTCTTCGTGTATACTCTTTGCTTGGTGAGTATGAAGTTCTGTTGTCTCTTATTAATAAGAGTTTGATTTTTTAAAGAGATGAATGAAAATGACATCCGATACATGTCCAATTTAGCCCACGTCTCCAGTATTTATATCGATGAAGACAATAGGAAAAAAGTTGTCGACGAACCATACTATATCTAGAGAATGGAAGTTTATTCAATATGGACGAGCTGTCTATCAAATTGTTGACGGAATTTTTCTCATAAAATTTATTAGAATGTCCTTTCTGTACATTAACGATGGATATTTTCTGTTTGTTTTCCTTGTCATGTCTTGGTGTCAAAACTTTGTCTTCGACTGTGAAGTTTTCTTTAAATTAATAGCTTTATATTAGCTTTGTTTCTAATAACTCACTCTACAATTAGATCGTACTGATTCCAGCATCATTCATTGTTATCCACTATGTATATTGAATAAAGAAACTCGCCTTCTCTTAGTGGTCATGTGCTTCTTTGGAAATCAGGTTTTTTTTCCTTTTGTATATATCTTGCTCGATATAAACAACAAACTTTGCTTACATTGCATATTCACGATTTTGTCGTATAGATAATTCAACTGATATAATAATTCGTCCATTACCTAATGGCTTACCAAAAACTGTTATACCGTCACATTATGAATTATTTATAGATGCTACTCATGTTGAACAAAATGTTTTTACCGGCATTGTCGATATTGATCTTCAAGTAAGATAATAAAAAATTATATTTTAGAATAAGAATTTGAATGTTTAGATCAACGAAATGATCAACGAAATTATACTAAATAGTGTTGATTTAAATATAACAAAAACTGAATATCAACAAAAAAAAACAAATTCTTATCTTCTTGATGGTTCGGTTGAATACGATAAAGTATATGAACAAGTAACGATTAAATTTATTCAACCAATTAATGTAAAAAGATTTTCACCTTATTTAAATATAAATCGAATTTAATTTATATTTCAGGCAGGGAATGGTCGTTTACATATGGAATTTATTGGTGTGATAAATGATCAACCTCAGGGATTTTATCGCACGAAATATAAGAGTCAAATATGTGCATTTACACAATTTGAAGTAAGTTTTCTATTACTGTGACTCTTATTTTGAATCTTTCTTTTAGCCTGCTAACGCTCGTCGAGCTTTTCCTTGTTTTGATGAACCGTCATTGAAAGCAAAATTTACTATATGTATCCGCGCTCCAAAACATTTGACAACATTGAGCAATATGGTAAGGAAAAAGAAAAATTTTCCTTATTAATTATCTTTTTCCTTATAGCCGATTAAATCACAGCAAAATGACACAGATCAAGCATGTATTCATGAATTTGATACCACACCGATTATAGCAACTTACTCAGTTGCTTATGTTATTGGAGCTCATGATTTTGTCGCAATATATGCTGCGAATAATGAACTTATTTATAGGCATGATTGATTTGTTCTTCTCTTCCTTTTATTCAAATCTTGCATGTACCGAGATCAATAGAAATAATTGCTCAATATCCATGTTTATGTGTTACCATTAAAAGAAAATGGTTTTTCTTGTATTGTTTCTTTGGAAATCTCATCGTTTTTTGTTTTTAATTAATTGATTCTCTTCTCTCTTCAAAATTTAGTTGTTCAATTTTCTATATGATTTATGTTTTTATAACTTTTGCCAACCATGATGAGATCATGTCGGATGGACAAAAATTTCTGTTTCTTTCTCAGGATTTTAATTCAAATAAAATTTGCCAATCAAGATATAGAGATAGTTCATTCGGAAATATTTTCATTGTGAATATTTAGTTGAATGTATTTAGTGATGACAAACAATTATGATGAAATTGTTTGACAGAGAAAGGCTTTGAGTTTGAATTTATCGACCAAAATTATCATCATCATATAAGCCAAAGATGAATTGGACGAGTTGACTGATAATTATATTCAATGAAAAAAGACTTCAAAGTAAATGAGACGTGACGTGAGAGCTAAGAACATAATTAAATCTTGCATTATTTCTCGGCGAAATGTCTCATATATATTCAAATAGCTACAATACATGATTATACAGTAGAATTAATTTAGAATTGTATATTGCAACAAGGCACTAATTGATTACTCTCGTTTGAAGAGATTTCACATTGAAAAAAGTTTTATTGCTATTGTTAAACCACAAGTTTCACATGTATTATTCGACGAGTTTTTAATATTTGATTAGACAAAGAAGAGAGTACATCAGACTAGAACTTGTTCGTATTTCGAGTCATTCATAAAGAACATCCATATAAAAACTACATTTTTTGACCGCCATCCTGTCCTCTTCCTAGATTCGTTTGGTTTCCAGAAATGGAATTGGTTCGCCTTTCTTTGGAACCGAGATGGCCTAGTATTTAAAAAGTTGAAACTAAGTCGATTTCAATACGGTCTGAAATTGAATCGATTCCATTTCTGCCAGCTTCATCGATGCTCTATTCCTCGCAAACGTCCAGCATAAGGAAAAACTTTTTAGAAAGAGCTTACTTGCTAAAATACACTACTTTGTTTTTATTGAATAACAGTTCATTAAATAAATAAATATTAATAAAGACACAACCCACATCATCAACAACAAACAAAAATATAACCTACTCAGGTCCAAAAGACACGATTGTAAATGACCGTATACCATAAAATACGGCGAAAAACGGTCATCGTGTACAACCATCGTATATCATGAACGCATACGATAACATACGTTCAAATTCGGATAACGTATACAATGAACGTGAACTACATTTGTGCACGCAAGTGTACGCCATACCACCGATTTTTTTCAAATTGGTGTGTTATGATGTATCGTATCAAAACGGCTGAATATTTCTGAAGTCTATTATAAAACTAACAGAATTGAATTCTTTGTTCAATTATAGATGTAATGTTGATGCATCTGTGATCCTTGTATACGCCACAGAGTCCAAATCGGTCCCAGCTATGAAATAAACTTTTTTTTATTATAGATGACGCTGAAAAATTCTTGTTTTTAGTAAAATTTATTACGAAATTGTTTTTTCTCGACGACTTTGAATTCTTTCTAATAAGAAATGATAATTTGTGTCTCAAATACTCCCTGTAATCATTCATAGTTGAAATCAGCAGTCATAAGCGTTACTGCCGATAAATCGTCAGCATACCATCAGGTCCTAGAAATACTCGGACAAACCAGCGGTACTATGAATAAATATGCGATATACGATATGTGATAGCTTTCTCGTTTTGAATTCAGCAAGAAGAACAATTTTTCAATAAAGAATATAATTTTCCTCATATAGATCGCACAAAAAATTGAACAATAAGTATTTATTGTAAAATAAATATTATTTATTTGGATATAATCGAACAATATATATATATATAGATGTTCGATTATATCTGAATACAAAAATGATTCATTCTAAAATAAACAATTATTTTATAATAAATAAGAATTTCATTTAGATAAAATTGAACAACATATAAATGTAAGTATTCATTTTTAAAATTCTTATGTACGTTTCTACTTTTTGTTTAATTAACATAATTCATGTTACTTAATTACTTTATCATAAAATTGATCATTATCAACAATCATTATTGAAAGAATTTTTATGTTTTTTTGTGTCTTTTAGTCACAGATCCCATGCTATTTAAACCGAACAAATAACGCCAATATAGCGTCGATAGTTTAATAGTAGAGTACTGCAACCCGCGGGTCGGGTACCCGAACTCGACGCGGGTATCGGGTACAGTTGGTTACGGGTAGGGTAGGGTACGGGTAGAGTTGGATATGGGTAGGGCAGGGTACGAGTACGAAAAGTTGTACCCGTGCAGTAAACCCCTCCCCCATAATAAAAGGCCACCCCATATTAGAGGGACACCTCCATTAGAAGGCCATGTCTGAACAAAAGTTCATCAGCCCTATTAGAAGGCCATGAACTAATT